GTGATGCCGAGTGTGGCGCCCCTGCCTCAAGCGCCGGCCGGGACCCCAGCACCCTCCAGCCAGCCCCCGGCAGGACTCCAGCGCGCCATGCCAGTGCCAACCTCCGCCAGGGCACAGCCACTGCCTCCCCGAAGGCCAGGCTCGCCGAGAGCTCCTGGAGCCGGCAGTGGGGGAGCCGTCGGTGCGGGAGCCCGAGCGCCGTGCCAAGGCGCTGCCAGAGGACCGTGGGCCACGCCGATGGCTCTCGGTGGTGGCTGGGACCAGCAGGCAGCTGCTGCCAGGCTGCGCCAGCTCAGCCACCGTGCTAAGCGTGCCCCAGCACCGAGCAGATGCACGGGACCGTGTCTGCCGGTGGGGACAGCAGCAGAACCGGCTCCCTGCTTTCGGGGGGACACAGCCGCGGCACATACAGGAGCACAGGGCTCCCCGCGCCAGCGGCACGAAACTGGCACCAGGGCAGTGGAAACTGCCACCACCTCTTCTGCTTCTGGTGAGCCGGCAGCCGGCACATAGCTGCCCCGGCACAGCCGCTGCCGGCCCCCCCCCGCTCTCCCCCGCTCTCACCGCAAAGGAAACCCGGCCGCCGCCTGCACCCCTCGCCCAACCTGCCGCAGGAAGGCGGCTGCTCTGGCTGCGCGGCAATGCTGGCTGAGCACCGGCCGAGCCCCCGCGCGCTGCCCGGACGGCATCGGTCCATCCTCGGGGCCAAAGACCCCTCCTGCCACCGGAACCCGGAGGGGAAACACCGCAGAAGTTTCCCCACATTTGCACGTGGGTCAGCTCTTGCAACCAGCCTTCCCCTTTGCCGGCTGCCAGGCCTGCCCGCCTGCCTGCCGGCCGGCAGCTCTGCCCGCAGCTCCCCCGCCGAGGCGGAAAGGCTCCCTTCCCCCAGCGTGCTGGAGCGCGCCGCGCGCCTGCGGTCACCCCGGGAGGGAGGTGGCCAGCACGGGTCCCCATGGCCAAACCCAGCGCCCAGGGCAGGGGCCACAAGCCCCACCGGGGTGCCGGCACAGGGATGGTGCTCCCGCACTCCACCGCCGGCCCTGGCGAAGCCCCTGCGAGCCTGCGAGCCCTGCCTGCCAGGGCGGTCACACCTCCAGGGGCTAGCGAGGACGGGGAGGCCAGGGTGGCAAAGGTCTTCCCCAGCTCCTCTCCAGGGCCAGCAGCCGCCAGACAGCGTCCCCGGGCCGTGGGGCAGCCACAACCATCAGAGAGGCAGGCCCCCCGCCCCCCC